TTAATTAACTCGGCATCGTCTCCCATGTAAACATGTGTTATATTGGGACTTTACACTGTAAGAAGTATAATCGACCATTAAAGAACGTGGAATCTGTTAATTGAAACAATGCACAATATCCATTACCTAACCAAATTCTAGCTATAACACCCATTCTGTATAAATTTGCTTTCTTTTTTTATTTGTCCAAAATTATAAGTCACTTTTCTTATTAAGAATATAATTGATTTTTTAGTTTTCCAATGTACCTTTTTATTAATAAATATAAAATACTCATATTTAATTTATAATTCAATGTAGGGGTATATTAGGTAAAATATAAGAAAAAAATTATATTTTCAACTATATTACTATATTTGTCAGACAACAAATCATGACAAATTACAGTATTCTAGCCCACATAACATCTCAACAAGTTCAACAAAGGGCTTGACTTTTGGATTTGCTATGAATCATTGCAATCCTGCCGGATCATATAGTCAGTAGAGCACTTTTTGCTGCAAAGGTTCACAATGAAGGTGCAACTGCAGAGCATACTTATATTTCTACTAAGATCTTACTCCATATCACTCAAATCTGTAATTACTATGTGCCTTCAGAAACTAATGCCGGATCATATAGTCAGTAGAGCACTTTTTGATGCAAAGGTTCACAATGAAGGTGCAACTGCAGAGCATACTTATATTTCTACTAAGATCTTACTCCATATCACTCAAATCTGTAATTACTATGTGCCTTCAGAAACTAAGTAGGAACTAGAAGAGTGTAGAAGAACATGAATTATAAAGCGCACTGAATATTATTTGATAATGCATTACAAAGAGGTGAGCTCTCCTTATATAGAGGGGAAAAGCATCTAAAAGTACCCACGAGATTCACGCATTTCCCGACATAATGAACACACGTCATTATTTTACAAATACAGTACAAACATTCTGAATTACCTTATCACTAGTACAATGATATAACTAAAACAACAAATTATTATACAAGTGGACAAACAAACTTTAATAAAGCAAATCTTGCTTTAATAAAGTAGATATAGTACTGTCGTTGTCTTGTCATGGTATGTCGAGATTCATGAAGTCTTCTGGACGTGAGGGTAGATCATGTTGATTTAATCAAGGTATATTGACATCTTGAGTTTCACTTGGCCATGAATCCTGTGAATTTTGGAAAATATTGCCATTATAATTAATGTGAAGAAATTGTTCATTTATTTGCTTTGATCCTGGATTTTGTGATTTTTTCTTACTTGATTTTGCATTTTCTTTTCATTTTTCCTTTTGTGTTGGATTCCACCAAGGATCTGCATGTAGAATTGTTGGGTGAAGGGAATGAAGGTGAAAATGGAGATGGCACTGGCGTCGGCGTTGGGTGCTATTGAGCCATCCGGTAGTGGTGGTGATGGTTTTGGGATGTGATGGGATGGATAGATGGAGACGAAGAAGAAGAAGAAGAATAAGTTAGTTTTTGGCCTTTTCTTTTAGTTATTTTATTATAAAAATATAAAGTTACCATTTTAACATTTTAAAATTTGTCAAAATTATTGTCAATGTCAATTATCTGATCAACTAGCGGTCAAACTAACATAAATCATCCATTTGGACCCCCATACGTTGATTTTTGAATGTAATATTATTTTATTGAAAAATATGGTTAAAAATAAGAGAGAAAAATGTATTTTAGAAATAATGAAGACCAAAGAAGGGATAAATATAAAAATGCTGTTGGAGTATTTAAAAATTTTTACTCTCTAAATTTATAAATGTTCTTTAAATTGTAGAATATGCTTTAAATATAGAGTTTTTTTTTTGGATATGTTCTAAAGATATATTTATTTATATTTTTACACATTAAGAAAAATGTAATTAATATAATTGAAAATATAAATTTTTGTTACATTTTTCCTAATATACACCTACGTTGAATAATTATTTTAGTATGATTGATTTATAATTGTTAATAAAAAGGTAAATTAAATATGGGTATATCAAGAAACTGAAAGATATTTATACTTTAAATAAGGATAGTGGTCTATAATTTGGGACAGACGAAAAAAAAATTAAATCTATCTTTATAGGATGGAGTCACAAAGGGGGTAATTATATTTTCTTGACGTGTGTGTGAAAATTGAAATAAGTTTGTCTTTGTTTGACAGGGGAGTATCTTTGTTTTTAAAGTCAAATAAAGTGTTAATGTATTTAGTCATTAGCTGCCAATTCATACCTTTGATTCCCCCTGCTCTCATGGTTCATTTCGACGAAATAGAAAGATCTGGATACAACCACAGATGAAACGATTCGCACATACGTTTGACCACATCGTCTAAAGATTTATTATATTCAATACGCATTTTCTTATACAAGGATGGACACATTTTGATATCAAAGGCATCGACATTTCACAGCTAAATATTTTTTTATAAACGAGTAACATATTTGATTACATAATATTTATACACATGGATACGATATTAAACTGTCCCGATAATTTAAAATTTAAGCTTTTATTACAAGAATTCTTGGGGGGTACCACCGGCCATTGAACGATTTTTATGAAAACATGAAACCCCAAAATGCTTCGGCAAATGAAAGGGGAACAAAATCCAACGGTCTCGCTCCCTGCCATAAATTGATGATCTCATCGTGTAAAAGTCATTTATCGATAGTTATACAAGGCAATAGAAGATTCCTATAGAAGATAGCTTTTCAAAAGCTCGATACTAAACTCACGCGTTAAACTCATAAGATGAACTACTATAGAAAATAAGATAAATTCGACCGAAAGCCCACATTTGCAAAACAGTATGAAATTAAAAACCCTAAAAATCAGATTTTGTTTTCATTAGAAAGTGGTGACAGTTCAGATGGATTTTAGGGTATTTAGTTCGCACCTTTTCATCATTAACAAGGTGCCACCTAATTTCTGCCTTATCGAACTTCGGGGTGTATCCATGACATGGAGCCACATACATATTCACTATGGGTTAATTTCACTAATGGTCATTGAAATTACCCGAAAATTTCAAAATGGTCACTAAAATTTCGAAGTTTCAGAAACGGTCACTGAAATTTGAAATTTCTTTTAAAACGGTCACTGAATTTTCAGATTCTTGGATCAAGTTTGAGGCAATTTTTCGACAACTTCCGACCACCAAAACCGCCGATTTTGGATACTATTGGAAAGCACACGATATCCTCTTCAATTACCATCAAATATCTCCCCAAAACTCGAAGTGATTCGGCGGAATAAAGCCACGAAGTCGGCAACCGAAAATTGTGAAAATTTGTCCAGATTTTCAGATTTTTTGGGCAAGTTTGAGGCAATCTTTCTGCAACTTCCGACCACCAAAACCGTCGATATCGGATACTGTTGGAAAGTACATAATGTCCTCTTCAATTAACACCAAAAATCTCCCCAAAACTCCAAGTGATTCGGCCGGAATAAACCCACGAAGTCAGCTACCCAAACTAGGCAGATTTTCGGACTTTTTTGGTAGCTGATTTCGTGGGTTTATTCCGACCAAATCTCTTGGAATTATGGGGATATTTTTTGTGGTAATTAAAGAGGACATTGTGGGCTTTCCAACGGTATCCAAAATCGACGGTTTTGGTGGTCGGATGTTGCCGAAAAATTGCCTCAAACTTGCCCAAAAAATCTGAAAATCTGAGATGATTTTCACAATTTTCGGTTGCCGACTTCGTGGCTTTATTCCGGCCGAATCACTTGGAGTTTTGGGGAGATTTTTAGTGGTAATTGAAGAGGACATTGTGAGCTTTTCAACAATATCCGAAATCGGCGATTTTGGTGGTCGGAAGTTGCCGAATAATTGCCTCAAACTTGGCCAAAAAATCTGAAAATTCAGTGACCATTTTGAAAGAAATTTCAAACTTCAGTGATCATTTCTGAAACTTTAAAAATTCAGTGACCGTTTTGAAATTTTCAGGTAACTTCAGTGACCATTTGTGAAATTAACCCTATTCACTATTTATCTTATTATTTTTGATAGTATAAAAACTTAAATCTTGAGCCGTTAATCTCATTGACACGTTATGTAAAAATTTAAAATGTCAAAAATAAAAAATTATCTAACTTGTTTAATCATGTACAATTCAATTTTTATTTTATTTTTATTTTTTTCATTAAATGGTTACAAAACTATTTTTGGTGACGCTAATACCAGACATGACAATTTATTTTAAAGCTTATAATATCATAGATGACAAATTTATATATTATTTTCGAACACAGAAATCACCGAACACGCTCTTTTATTTATTTAGTTCCTATTTTATTTTGTCACTCGTTTTAGTTTCACGCTAAGGATATTTTTGACGTTTTAAGGTCATAGTTTTTTTCCCCCTGCGAAGTGGTTATTTTATTTCTCCTAAATTCTCTATTATTTCTTAGTTTTTTTTATTAATTAATAATTTTTTTGAAGAAATAGAAATAAAATAACAGTAATACCTTAACCAACTAAATCGTACTCTTCAAGAAAAATAAATTAATTGACAACAACAATAATTGTATAATATAAATTACTAAACATATTTTCTACTATTATCTGGTCTTAAACTATAATCTTGCAAATATGTAATGGACAGCGTAGACTTGTACTTTCAAAATAGTTCAAGTTAGGTATGCTTAAGCATTTTTATTGAACATATCATGATAGGCTTAGATGTCAAATGCACCCTGAAGTTTTCAGTGTTGCGCAAAATTAAAAATAATTTCAAGACAGCAAATCAAATGCATGTTACCAACAAGCATATCACCCTCCGAAAATGTAAATAACAAGCATACTTAAAATCAATTATTTGAAATTTAGCCACATCGAAATTTTTTGAACAAAGAATTATATTGTACAGCACGATGTGCAAAATGCTAAAGTATCATCTTGCATCGTTCATAAGAATGATATATGCCACAGTATTTCGATATGATAAGGCCATTTGGTTCCTGAATTAACTAAGAGAATAACCAACACCCAACAACTTTCACTCGTCACCAAACCCAACCGCATAGTGACCTCTGTTCTTATCCTGCAAATGAATAATCCTTGTCAATTAGAGAGTATCCGGCTCTGCACAATTGGCTGTGCAATACAAATTCAATGACATCCAAGTGTGAAATTTAGAGAATCAACTACCTGGGACAACATCCGTTGTTTGTTTAGCAATTGTGTCCTTGCTTTGTTGACAACTGAGTTAGGTGATTTGTACATCCTCTGCAATTGGAAAAAACAGGCGTTGAGCAATTAGAAAATGAAACTATGGGAGAAGCTCAAGAGCTGGAAGCCACACGCCACCAACCACCATCATGCTGAAACTGCATTAACGCAAAGCCCCAAAAAACAAAACTAAAATAGAACAGACAACAGGAGAAACTAACTTCACCAGCTCAAGCACAAGAATTGACACATTAGAAAGATTCTTCTAACAGCACCCACAAATTAGATCAAATCAACTTTCACAACTAGAGTGGAGTACTCCATCCAGAAAAGATTTTTGAGTTTAGAAGATCAAACCAACTAAATGACTAATTCTAGGGCAATATCAAGATTTGGTTTTCCAAAAGAAAAATTACTCGATATGAAATTACTTTTTAAAACTTAATCGTTCATTTAATTTGTTTCCAATATTAATATAACTTTGTTGAATAAATTGAAAACAATCTTTTTTTTGGAGAAAAGCATAAATAAAATGAGAACATACCACAACGATCTTTATCCCTTTTTTATCTTGGTTTTTTCAAAATCACTTCTCGACAAATTCATTTTTGTTCATAGTTTCTAAATAAAATAATTTTGCACATGGATCCATGACTTTTCTCAACTTTTTAACCACTGTTCCAAAAAATTCATTTTTCACAAAATCACTTCTCAAAAAATCAAAATCAAACATGGGATTAATTGCATAATCTTAGCATGTAAATCTTAGTCGATCCAGCCCTCTAAGAGCACCATGTGATGTACATAACATCATTAGTGCTTCAAAAGTGGGCAGAAATATATGTGCTATAATGTACAATATACAACGGTGCATCATTTCAGCTGATGTCATGAGCTCCTAAGCACATGATAAAGATTGCTCGGTTGTATCTGAACAATTTGCAAAGGAAGACATCAACCATTATTCTACATTTAAATATACTAAAGTTAAAAATTAACTGAGTTGTTCAAAAACTTTATCAGAGCCAATGAACAAGAAGATCAATGTAGAAGTCTAGCAATAGAACCAAGAACATTGTGGCTTGCCAAAGATGATTGTGGTAAGAATGCTGTAGACTAACCTTTTCACCTACAGACATGCGATGCTCAACACCTGAAAGATTTTTCTTTGGCATGAAGCCAAAGACATCATGAAGAAATCCGTTCTCCTGTTTTGAACAAAGTGTGAACGGATGATTAGCACAGCTATAGAGAAATCGAGTATAAATCCATTTGGCAAAGGACAAAAGTCTACCTGCATATGCTTCACAAATCCTCCCCCAAGAAAATGTTTCAGAAAGTTTAACTGTTCAAATACACCGATCAAAAAATGCAAACTCGTAGAAACTATTGACCACTACAAGTAAATGGAGAAGGAATAGACCTGTATCAGCTGTGCCCATGTAGTAGTGTTTAGTGACTCCCCACCAATCTTCATTGAGGTCTCTGGACTATAGCCATCCTAAAATTTCAACATTGATAGAAAGATCAGAAAACCAGCAAGAATATGAATTATAGCTATAAATATTGATAAAATATACCTCAAGAAATTCAAGGATATCTCGAAACGTATTCCTCTGATTATTGAGATCTTTCTTAGCGGAACCTTTACCTCCTGCCTCCACAGAGAGGCTTCTCATTTGGTTTAAGACTTTAGTCCTTAACCCCTGAATGTAAACTAATTGTCTCTGACCATTCTCTCCGTCAGTGGAAATGTCACTAGATCCTTTGGCTTCAGCAGAGAACTTCTCCAAGCTGCCTATCTCAAAAATTAAAGCAAGTGCTTCGCCAGCTGCAATGCGTAGAGATCTGTCTTCCTTGTCCAGAAGAGAAGAAAAATATGAAATTGACCTGCATAATTCATGAAGACAATAAAAACCATCAATAAGCCGTGAAAAACATTACCCACTGACCCATTGTATACAATATGACGACAAAAACAATCCAGACGCACAAAAATTTACTCACTCTTGCCAACTTTTGGGGTTGAGAGTCCGTCCATCCACAGTAGTGAGGAGAAATGACCAAGCAGACACAACCATGGTTATCATAGCTGGTGAAGGTTTAGCAGCAGCCACCTGAAATCAGGATCCAGATTCATGAGACATCATCAAATTTATAGCTGGGGCACGAGCAACTAATATCGAATAATTAATATAGGAATCAAACAACCAACTGCTTAAATAAACTTAAAACTATACCAATACAAATGACTTCATAGATCAAGCATTATAAATAATTAATTTGCAATTTAACAACAGAAGTAGTGCTTCATCACATGTATAAATAAAACAAAAACAGAGAATGTATCATCATATACAAAAATAAACTACCACGTGAGAAAACCAAAAGCATTTCAAACCGCGGAAATAGACACCACAACATCAATGGGGCAGCACTATGGTAAAACTAAATGCATGTCAATGCAAGAAAGTAGACAATACGTGCAAGGAAGTAGACAACACATACATTGGGACCCAATTTTGGATGAGCCACTTGCCACATCATTTGCATTGATTTCTCTGTTTCCTCTGGCTCTTCTCCGCCAATAAAAGTAATAATAGCCAAACACTCCAGCAACTGCAATTTATATCAGCACAATATCCAAAGTGTGAGTATCAAAACAGGTCAAAGAATTCAAATATAAAATCAAAATAAAAAAGTTACTACTACATTCTGACATACAGATGATATCTTAGATGGTTCAGAACGAGATTTCAGAGCTTCTGATATAGGAGAGAGAGATTCTTCCAAAATTTCCTGCGCTTTCTCCCCAGGACCAGTTGTCAGGGCCAAAAGTCCTACGAAGAATTATTGTATAATATGTTACTGATCTGCAATAAAATTGTAAGATCAACATTGTTTACGTGGAGAATAGAAATTCGTACCAATGACATGAGATGCCAAAGCAATCTCCTTGGCAGATCCCTTCTTGATTGAGTTCAAACATTGATGCAGGAGTGTAGCAGACCTGGGATAAGAAACACTAGATTATCGCCAGAACTCAACAACGGGATGATGCATGGACAAGTGCATCAGTAAAACTGAAATTCCATTAACTCTAACGAACTGAGTTACTAAGATAAAGTTCAATAGCTAGGAGTAATATTAAGTAAAATGAGTCTTACTGCATGATAACTCAAATTAGCCAAGTGGAATCCCCAATCCTCCAGGCTCCAACAAAAGAAAATTTATAGAGCTACCCAAAAGTTTTAAATTTGCGTGTAATATTATTTTATTTGGAGAATGTGTGGTTATAATTAAGAAAGAGAAAATTTTTTAAAAAATTAATAGGTGCCAAACACCCTCAAAATAGCAATTAAAACAGGGTTTAGCATACTTGTTTTCAACAAACTCATGCTGTAAGCTGTTATTAAAGGCTTCAGTAATTGACGTCAAAGCCTTCTCTCTAGTAGATCCTCTGCAGAAGGCAAACAAAATAATACATATTAAACAGAAGTCCCTTGTTTCGTTTTCAGTGATTAAATCTGAAAATAACATTTTAAGCATTCTTTCAGAACTACAGCTAATATCCAAAGTTAATACCTTAGCAACTTTCACTAAAACATACAACTGATAAATGATAAAGAACTGAACAGATAATGAACAATACCTTTTTTCGTACAGAGCATCTAAAAACTGATCAAGTAAACTATCTTTATCCACTTGCACTTCTTCAACATTTGAGAATACCATATTTTCTGACCGCATGGTTGATGAGGATGAGCTCTCACTAGCTGCGTCATCACTATCCAACATAGCAACATTCTTTTTTTGAGAACTTCCTATAAGATTACATCACATGAGGCCGGTTAAAACACAAAGCCAAGGATTTTGAGCAAGATAATCATAATCAAAGAAATCTAACAAGAAACAAAAAAAGGTAATTATCATAAAGTAATACGAAATTCCTAACTTCCACGGGATCACATGCTAAACACATTTCCAAAAACAGAAACAAGATTTGAACCAGAAGACTTACTACCAAAAGAAAAACAAGATTTAAGACATTCAAAGATAATAACTAGATGACTGAGCTCGTATTAAGAAAGTTACTAAGCCCCTGGATGAACTCCATTTTTTCAAAACCCATTTTCAACCACATATTCTCCCTTAAAATAATTTTACAAGTAAATCCAAAACTTTTTCATATTTTTTAACTACACATTCTCTAGAAAAAAACCACAATTCAAAAACACATCCATGAATTTAATTAGGAAATTTTTTTAAATCTTGTGTGCACAAATCCAAGAACTTACTAGCAAGAACATCGACTCCAAATTGAGATAATTATCATAAAATAAACAACAATGTGAAAAACACTCAAATCAATTATTAATATTTAAATTCAAAGATATAATCAAACAACCAAATTACTTCACTAATGCTATTCAATAATTAACAACAATATACGTAATTAATTTAGACAGTTTTCAATTTCAATGAATAAAAAAAATTGCTAATAAATCAAACAGAAACTAAACATTAAGTACAGAAACCCTAAAAATGAAATTCCAGTCACGAATTAACTCAATTAATTAAATAACTTACTTTTACCCATGGTGTCGTTACGCTCTTCGCACCTACACTGGCGATGATTTTTAACTAATTAAAGAAGAAAAGAAACGATACAAGGTTGACTAGAAATTGGACGATGAAAAGAATCTATAGAAACAATAAAATTGCAGGATTCAGAATGAATGGAAGACCAATTGCCAAAACAAAACAACAAATTCTCAATTGAATCGACGATCAATGTATCCATTAAAGAATTTGTTTTAATAAAGAGAGAATCTAGTCCAGAGACGATTTGTGAGGTTAGAGAAAATAGAGAAGAAGATCAGATGAAAATAGGGCGCATTATAATACAAATGGGAGATGCGAATTTAAGGGCGTGTTTGGCCAAGCCTTAATTGGTCAATTTTATATTAAATTTGGATAACTTTATTTATAAGTAGGAAAATGCTTCTTGTAAATAATTTTTTTTACATAATATTTAACGTAATGGTGATGCGTCAAAATATAAGTGAGAAAGTTATTTGATTGATGAGATTTTGATTCATTTAAATCTCGTTACATTGTCTGTTGTTAAATCATTACGTAAATTATTACATACATGTAGCACTATTCTTAAAAGTCCTAGTTAGATGCACATTTTGAAGGTAAGAATGCATTTTTACTGTTGATGTGATGGAGAATATGTGGTTAAAAAGGGAAAAGTTATTGATGTGATGAAAAATATTATTTTATTGAAAAAAATGTGATTGAAAATAAATAGAAGAATGAGAATGAAAAAAATAATGCGGACTAAACATGGCCAAAGTAACCATTAATTTAGAATTAATTTATATTCGCTATCATTAAAAAATTATTTTAAAAGATACTTTCTTACTTTTTGGTAATTTTTTTAGCATAGCCAAACATGGTCTTAGCACATTAAATTTTAGGTTTTTCTTGTGAGAAGAGGGGGAATTTTCAAGATGGGTGTTTGGAATATTCTGATAGTGTGTGGAAGGGAGTAGAAAATGGCTGTGACGTGGATGGATCCGAGGCGCAGGGTGTGTTTGGTGGGACCTACTTGACACTTGGTGGCAGGATAGTACGTACGTGATGCGTCTCACTAAATTCAAGTGTGCGATCGTTTATCTACCGTTTGTCAAAACTGATACAAGACGGGAAGCATGTGATTTAGAAGCAAATTTGACTAAACTGAAAAATAACAAAAAAAAATTAAAATAGTTTGGTGTAGTCTATTCAGTAGTTTTAAATCTTTTTAAATTGGCAACTTGAAAAAAAAATATTCTAGTATATGCTTATAATTTTTTGATATGTATGGAATTTGAATAAAATTTTAACTTAATGAGCGTGTTTGATATAAATTAGAATCGGATTAAAATTGAAAAATTAGTCTTTATTGTTGACTTTTATTAGACGAGTGGAATCCAATAACAGCTATATTTTCAATTTTAATTAAATTTTAAGCTTAACTAAACATGCTTTCAGTCCTGTTTGAACTCCATTAAAATTATAATTTTTTTTTTCTTTTTATCAGTTACACATTTTTCAATAAAATAATATTACATGTAAATTCAATTTTTTTCTTCTTTTTATTATCATACTGGATGTACAATCTAATTTGACAATATTGATTGACAATTCACGCTTGATAATATTACATTCATCCTCAAAAAATGTTTTTTTAAATCAATACCAACATTATCAACCATTGTTGTCAAGTATGATTGTACAAATATCATAATTGTATTTTTTAACCACACATTCTTCAAAAAACTACTGTTTCAAAATACATTTTCTCCAAAATTCAATTATAATGGAGCTCAAAAAGAGCATAAAATACAATTACATATTTTACATCATTTTTTAAGCGTTGATCGTCTTAATATGGTTAATGTTTGTGACGATTAAAAAAAAAGAAAAGATTAAGTAAAAACAAATTTTTATGTGAAATTTATTATTATTATTATTTGCATATTATCCTGTTTTAAAATCTTTCCTGGATCTGCTCCGATAATGAACCAATTTACTGGGATGTGCATACTCGGTTTTGTGGTGCAAATTGGCACTAGAACAAGCTCAGTGGTTGACATTTCATATTTATCCATTTACTAGTTGTGGTGAACGTTGATTTATTTTGATGTCTTACGGAAATGTTGTAGTTGGATGTTTGATATATGTTATGGGTATCATCAACTAAGATTATGATTGATTTTAAAAATTATTTTAAATTCAGATGTCTCCAATTAAGATTTTAATGGAATCCATTAAAATTTAGTTGTTTCCATAACTCGTGGATTTATATGAATTTAGGATTTTATAATATTTGAATAGATTTCAAATTTAAAAATACATCTAATAAACTATTTTCAAATTTTACCATTTTTAATAAGATTTTTGTGAAAATCAATTCAAATCCACGAAATTCATGTCCTCAATTAAGACTGTGATGAATTTTTAAAAAAAAATCTAAATTTAGGTGTCCTCAGTTGAGATTTCATTAAAATTCAAGGGTCCCCAATTGATATTTTAATGAAATCTTTTAAAATTTGGGCATTCTCAATAATTAGTGGATTTATTTAAAAAAATCATTAATAGAGGGACTTTAAAAGAAATTGATAAATTTCAAGTTTAAAAATACATATAACCAAATATTTTGAAATTTCGCCATCTTTGATGAGATTCTTATGGAATTTGTGAAAATCTATTCAAATTCACAAAATTTATTAGGATTTATAATATTTTAAAATTTATCAAAATTTTAGTTTAGGACACTCCCATAAAATTTATAATCTTTTAAAATCAATCAAACTTGCCTTGAGGACACCCACTTAATTTATGGTAATATTTTATATGTAAATTGTCTATGAAATTAAGGTTTTGGGTCCCTCACATATAATCATTATTGATCTTTTTATTAAATGTTTGAAACGTGTATAATTTTTAATAAATAAAAAATCACGAGGTTTGAATACGGGTCTCATGTATGCACCATTCATTTAAAAGTTTATTGACTTAATTTATTTATTTGACATTATTTTTAAAATCAAAACGAGAATATTTAAATCTGATAATATATTTTTCAATAAGTTTTGGATATTATAAAAACTTTCGTGCTACAACCAACCAATTCAAGGACTGCAAAAGAAAATTTCACAGTTCTCAAACTTTTTTCCTCCAAAAAAGATCAAATTTCCTAATTTAGATCAATAAATAAAATTTTCGTACGATGCCATTCATTGCATCGTAGATGTAGAAGTAAACCCAATGAAACTCTAGTCGACCCGTTTTATCATCGTATGATGCCATTCATTGCAAAAATGTATACATCGAATTTTCAAATAAATTTTGAGAGAACCTTAAGTTTATGAAAATTTGATTATTTGGACCTTAAAATTATATTCCAAATATGGTTAGTTGATCGGAACTGTGAGGAAATATGTCAACTCTATATTTCTTGTTCATACTCTAAAAGTTTATTTGTGTTGGTGCGTTTAATTTTCGAGAGCAAATGCTTTTGTTATTTACAAATCTTTAGTTGATCCTCTTTTCATTCCCTTAATATTGATGGAAATCTATTTGGATTCCTCCAAATAGTTGAAAGCTTAGTTGTTAAATTTGAACCAGACTCATTGGTCCAATTGAAAACTCGGTGAATTGTCTTCAAATATATATATATTGATGGAAACCTATTTGGATTCCTCCGAAATAGTTGAAAGCATAGTTGTTAAATTTGAACCAGACTGATCGGGCCAATTGAAAACTCAATGAATTGTCTTCATATATACATTATATATATATATATTTCCCATGCTTACTTTTTATTTTTTTCAAAAACAATTTAAATATTTATTCATCTTTGAAAAATATGACAAATAAAATTTTAATGATAAATAGAAATGAAAGAGCAAGTAACATGAAAAATGTATAGATCTTATATCTAATTTTAAAAAAGAGAAAATGTGAGAAATCTATATATTAAATTAATTCTTAATTTAAAATCTACTTTAACCTTTAAACATATAGTTATATGTATGCTTAAAAAAAAAAAAAAAGTTTTGCAAAGACGCTCCAATTGCACCGTGTCCTGTTAACCGTGTTTTGATCGATCAAGTCCGATAATCATAATTGAAAGCCTCCTTGAGTTCTTCTACCAATATCTGTTTGTCCAAAGTTGAAAGTCTCACTGCTTTCCACTAGTAAACTTATATTGTATAGATTATGCATAGTTGTTGATTATGAAACTTTATAGATGGATTTGAAACCGAGTGTCCACAACCACAAAGAGAAATGTAACCACTTGACTACAAAAAATTTCATATAAAAAATCTAATGTTTTAGTATTCATTATATATTTACTTTTTTTTTTTTTCAGAAAAAGAGAAAATTCTAGGGTCCCAAATATTCAAGATCGAAGGCCAACTTTACTTGGAGTCTTCTATATGCACTTTATGAGTTAAATATATCACTATCACTACATTAATTAAAGGAGAGAATAGACCTTTCACTGCTCATACCTACTTTTCACACCTAAACTGGTTGCTATTGTTCATTACCTGGTTTGGTACTTGATGCTACCAAAAATCGCATATGTTGAATTCCGAGTTTGACGATTAAGAATGAGCACGAATGTGATCTTCCGATACCTGAAATAACGGCATCGAGGTATGTACTCGTCGTTCCTCTGATACTTAAGTCAGAGAGAAAATATGAAAAATCTTGAGTGCTCAAATTGTATGTAAAAATGTACCTGAATAATGATCCAAGGTTTCATATTTTATAGATGTAGGTAATGCATTCCTAACAGGACTTGACATCTTAATTTTAGGAATTCTAATTGGGATAAGCGTTGGACCACAATCATAAGTCTAATCATACGTTAATTGTAGTATTTTCCAAGATAGACTCCTTATGGATCTAGGACTCTTGAATTTAAGTGTTTGGATAGGGTTAGAGTTCCTAGAAAGTAGAATTAGTCCATGTCTAAGGAAATCTTTTGAGTTTGGTAAAGGAAAAGGCCTAAGGACACAATACTGAAGGGGGTCA